TTTTCAGTATTTTACCTAGATCTCTTTTCATCTTTGGCTGTTGTCTTCATAGCTATTGTTATCTTTATATCTAAGTCTATTCATTCCATAACCTTATTTCAGAGAACTCTGTGCATGTTTTAACCAGACTTATGAAGTTGTGCAACTAAACCACTTGGCACCACTATCCACTCATACTAGAAACTTAGATGGTATCCTCAACTCCTCCCTCTCATTACCCTCTCCCCATTCAATCAGATGCCAAAGCCCACAGAGTCTACCTTCCAGATATAGATAGAGGTTTTTTTTTTCCTGGTGAACAGAATTTATTTGCTCAGTGCTATAGACTGAATGTGTCCCCCCAAAATTTGTATGTTAGAAGCTAATCCCCAAAGTGATGGTATTTGGAGGTGAGGCCTTTGGGAGATGATTAGGTCATGAGGGTGGAACCCTCATGAATGGGATTAGTGCCCTTATAAAAGAGTCCTTGGAGAGCTCCCTCACCCCTTCCACCATGTGAGGTTACAGGGAGAAGATGGCTGTCTATAAACCAGGAAGTGGGCCCTTCCCACATACCTTGCCCTATGCATCCCTTCCATCTGGATGTTCATCTATATCCTTTATCATATCCTTTTATAATAAACTGGTAAATAGTAAGTAAACAGTTTTCCTGAGTTCTGTGGGCCACTCTAGCAGATTAATCAAACCCAAGGGAGGGAGTCTTGGGAACCTCTGATTTATAGCCAGCCAGTCAGAAGCACAGGTGACAACCAGGACTTGTGATTGGCATCTGAAGGGGGGCAGTCTTGTGGCACTGAACACTAAACCTGTGAGATCTGATGCTATCTCCAGGTAGATTGTGTCAGAATTGGTTAAGTTGTAGGATACTCAGCTGGTGTTGCAGAATTGCGTGGTGTGGGGAAAAAAAACCCCTCACACATCTGGTGTCAGAAGTGTAATGAAGTATTCTGTGTGAGTAGTAAAGGAGAAACGGGGAAGAGCATAGGTTTTCTTTACAACAACCTAACAAAATATGTAGGATGTATTTAAAGCAGTGCTAAAGGGAAATTGATAGCACTAAATGCTTACGTTAGAAATAAGGACAGGTCTCAAGTTGCTGTGTCAATATTCTAAGTTGCTGTGTCAAGAAACTAGAAGAGCAAAAATAAACCCAAACCAAGCAGAAAGAAGGAAATAAAAGCAAGATATTTTTTAGACATATATAAGCTTTTTCTAAAATTTATATGGAAAGGCACAGGCTCTAAAATAGCTAAAATAATCTTGACAAAGAATAAAGTGGGAGAAGTTACTCTACCCAATATCAATGCTTACTATGTTGCTACAGTAATTAAGACAATGTAGTATTGACAAAGGGATACACACATAGGTCAATGGAATAGAACAGAGAATCCAGAAGTAAACCCACACTAATATGCTGAACTGATTTTAACAGTTTTATTGAGATAAAATTCACATGCCATGCAATTCACCTATTCAAAGTATACAATTCAATGGTATTTTAGTATATTCACAGGGTTGTGTAACTATCACCATATCTAAATTTAAAACATTTTCATCCCCAGAAAAAGAAATCCTGTATCCATTGGTGGTCATTCTCCATTCCCTCCCATCAGCCCAAAGCAACCACTAATCTACTTTCTGTCTGAATTTGCCTGTTCTGGATATTTCATATAAACAGACTCGTAGAATATGTGGTCTTTTGTGACTGGCTTTCACATAGTCTAATGTTTTCAAGATTCATCCATGTAGCATGTGTATCGGTACTTCATTACTTTTATTACTTTTTATGGCTGAATAATATGGGCACTTGGGTTGTTTCCATCTTTCCCTATTATGAATAATGCTGCTATGAACACTTGTCTACCAGTTTTTGCATGTATACATGTTTTCATTTTTCTTAGGTATATACCTAGGACTGAAATTACTGGGTCATACTTTGAGGAATGTCTAGAATTTTTTCCATAGCAACTGCATCATTTTAAATTCCCACCAGCAATGTATGAGGGTTCAATTTCTCCACATCCTTACCAACACTTATCTGACTTTGATTCCAGCCATCTTAATGGGTGGGAATTGGTATGTAATTGTGGTTTTGATTTGCATTTCCCCAAGTACTAATGATTTTGAGCACTTTTTCATGTGCTTATGGACCATTTGGATATCTTCTTTGGAGAAATGGCTATTCAAATCCTTTGGCCATTTTAAAATTGTGTTGTTTGTATTTTTATTAGTCAATTTTAAGTATTCTTTACAGATTCTAGATACAAGTACTTGTCAGATACTGATTTTTATTTATTTATTTATTTTGCTGAAGAAGATTCACCCTGAGTTAACATCTGTTGCCCATCTTCCTCTTTTCTTTTGTATGTGAACCGCTGCCACACCATGGCCATTGACAGACGAGTAGTGTAGATCTGCGCCGGGGAACCAAACGTGGGCCAACGAAGCAGAGCACACCGAACTTAACCACTATGCCACTGTGGCTGGCCTGAACTGATCTTTGATAAAGGTACAGAAGCAATTTAATGGAGGAAGAACAGCTCTTTCAACAAATGGTGCTGGAGCCATTAGACATCTGTAGCCAAAAAGAAAAGAAAAAGAGAACTTTGACCTCACACCTCTTAAAAACTTAACTCAAAATAGATTACAGACTTAAATTTGCTCCAATACTAACTCATGAAAAAATAAATATATTGCATCTTCATTGTGACCATTGAGGGCAAAATAAATGGGTCCTTCTGTCTCTGAGGAGTCCATATTTTGTCTTGATAAATAAATGAAAATCAATAAGATATATTGGAGTATATGAGGAAGCCATTTGGTTTAGAACTAATTCGGCCTGACCTTGTTTTTCCAGAAAGGCCTGACGTGGCCTGTTGAGCATGCATTATACATCTACTTTAAACACTTACAGTGTCCCAAAGACAAGAATGATGCCCTTAAAGATAGGATGTGGCTTCTCCCATATCAGCATTTCCTTAAGGAAAAGCATCTCTTCCTGGAAACTGATGATTAATTACTGACCTGCTGTGCTAACCTTGTGACTGACCTGCTCTGTCAGCTAAGCATCTTGTGACAGTAGTAAAAGATATTCCTCTCATATGTGACTTATGCTCTTTGTTCCAAGACAGTATATAACTGCACTGTACACTCCACTTCTAGGGTGTGCTTCCTTCCTTGGGGAATGAAGCCCCCCAGGCTATAGTCCTCAGACCTGGCTCATAATAAACTCACCCAATTTTGATTTTTAGATTGATTATGGATTATTTGCATTGACAATCTCTAGTACTCAAGATTATGTACAGAGACTATTACATTAAATTTAGATATGCCAGGGGGCCAACCCCATGGCCTAGTGGTTAACTTTGGCGTGCTCTGCTTTAGCGGCCTGAGTTCAGTTCCTGGGCATGGACTTACACCACTTTGTTGGTGGCCATGCTGTGGCAGTGACCCACATACAAAATAGAGGAAGACTGGCACAGATGTGAGCTCAGGGCGAATCGTCCTCAAGCAAAAAGAGGAAGATTGGCAACAGAGGTCAGCTCAGGGCGGATCTTCCTCAGCAAAAAAAAAAAATTAGATATGCCAGGCAGACATCTGTTTGTTGATTACTGACTTGAAAATGATAAATGTGTTTTTTATGCAAATCAAAGTTAAGTTTAATTCACTTAGTGACTATATTGCCAAGCTTTGTAGAGTTTTGCCAACAGAAGCAGCGTAAGAGATAATGGTTGAAAATGAAAAGTGTTACCACCTATCTTCTTCAGGCTAAAGATGCCCAATCTCTTCATACATTTGTGAAATGTGTAAAAGGCTGCAAAAATCTGGAAGTTTACTGATCTTCTTAATTTACATAAGGTTTGTCTGTATGGTTTGAAAAAGCAAGGGGGACGACATCAATCATAATTTCAACACTCAGACACAAAACCAACCACAGTTTTTGCGGATTGTGTGTCTTTTACTTTTTACACATAGGAATAGTTTTCCATTATTGCAGTCTTAGTGCAATTGTAATAGCTCTGTTCCTCCTTAAAGAAAAACTTAACCCAAAAAGTATTCCTCATGTTGCTCCATCATCACACAATCATTTTATAAGTTATATACTTTTCAAACACATAAAAGTACTGTTATTTATTTAATCATTCTTCTACTTGTGATCATATTGTTTACATTCAACATTTTATTACTATAAACAATGTTTCAATATCTTGGTAAATATTTGCTTTTAAGATTTTTTCAATATATAAATTCCCCGGTCATATAATGCTTTTTGTCATTGGTGACTTTGGTGAGACAATTTACACTGAAGCATTGGAGCCTATAACCCAATTTTGAGTTGAGTTGAGAAGGGTTGAGACATCAATTGGTGTTAAGATTAGAGGTAGGAGTTTATAAAATATTTTCAAAGACACGTTGAATAGGAACAAGAGGGTATAACTGACAGAATGAAGAACTGCAAGAGTGATCTTTATACTCTGCTTTTCTTTATAACACGTAACAATCCCCAACATTTACCAGTATCCTTTTGTTTTGTATTGAATTTCCCCCGCATGAGAATGTCAGCTCCACGGGTGGGGATTTTTGCGTGTTCACAGTTGCGTCCCCAGCGCCTACAACAGTGCCTGGCACATAGTAGGCGCTCAATAATTGGCAAATGAAGGACAGGATAAGGAGGAGAGAGAAGAAACAGAAAAATAAAGAGAGGAAAGAAATCCCGGGCAACCTGAGCTCTTAACCACACGTACATCCTCCCCGGACCCTCTCCAGCGCGCCGTGGTCCCCACGCCCAGCCCCGCCAGCTCCGTTTTCCCCGGTGCCGGGTCTGGAGCCGGACCAGGGTCGCCGGCCCGCCCACCGCGAGTGCGCATCCCACCCCCGTCCTCGCGCGCGGCGCGTGCACCGGCTCTGGGCGCCTTCGGGGGACCCGAACAGGCTGCGCTTGCGTAGTCCGAGTTGGCCCGCCTAGGCTTGGGCCAGAGTCGGTGGGGGGCTGTGGTCCGGCCGCCTGAGAGGGCTGAGCCGGTCCTACTTCTCGGTCGGAGGGTCGGGGGTGAGGGACCGTGGCAGAGACGACTCGAAAGGGAGGAGGAAGGAAACGCCTGCCAGCCCCGGGGCTCTCGGAGAGCAGTCCCAGCATGCTTCGCGCCGCGCCGCGCCGCGCCCGGTCTCGGACTCCATTTCCCAGCGGCCACTGCCGCCGGCCCCGGCTGCCCGCCCGAGCGCCGCGGCCCCTTTGTGAGTCCGCCGGTCGGACCGCGATCGAGTCCCCGCCCCGGCCCGCGGGGGCGCTCGGCTCCCGGTCTCCGCCGACCGCGCGGAGGGAGGTGCCGACCCGCAGGGAGGAGGCGGTGAGGAGTCCGGGAGCGAGCGCGCGCCTAGGGGGGGCCTGCCGTGCTGGAGCGGGCTGTGAGGGGGCCTGTCACAGTGTGTGAGACCGTGTCACCGTGGGTGACAGTGTTTGAGAATGTGTGTGGGAGTTTGAGACCATGTCACCCTGTGCGGGACCGTGTGTGCAGACAGTGTCACCGTGTGCATGGGACCCTTGTGAGACCGTGTGACCGTTTGTGAGACAGTGTGAGTGTGTGTGACTGTGTGTGAACAGTTTGCCCGTTCGTGTGGGACACGTGTGAGACTGTGTGACAATGCTTGAGAATGTGTGTGACAGTGTCAGGCCGTTACCATGTGTGACTAAGAATGTGTATGACCATATGTGACAGTGAGTGTGACTGTGTGAAACTGTGGCAGTGTGTGGTGATATGAGACTGCGTGAGATTGTGTGACCTTAGAACTATGTGTCGTGATATGTAACACCGAGTGTCATCATGTCAGTGTGACAGTGTGACCAGGAGGGGCCTTGTGTGACCCATTGTGAGGGGAGGATGGGCTGCAGTGTTGAGACTGTCCACAGGCTGCCAGGGGAGCTGCCAGCATGAGGGACTGTGTGGTTTGAGTGGTGGGCGGCAGGCTGTGCCGGTGCTTGGCGAGGCCAGTGTGCTCCAGGGTTTGAGAGGCTGTGTCGTGGGGTAGAGCCTGAGATGAAGGGGAAAAGATGGAGTTTAAGGAGAGAGAGACGAAGGGAGAGGAAGACAGCCCAAGAAGAGGAGAAAGCTAGAGAGGAAGAGACAGGCTGCTGGACCTCAGCCCTCTCTGGCACAGAAGGTCTTTCCATCCCTCTCTTAATTCCTCTCCTAGTGAGGAATTGAAGAGGAAGAAGGAAGGGGAGACCTACTGTGTGCTATTTATGAAAATAAATGACTGAATGACTGACATTTATTGAGCACAAGGATGTCCAGGCACTGTGGTAAATGTTTTATGTGGATCATTTCATGATCCTCCCAACAATTGATAGAGAGTAGGTACCATTTCACTGATGAGGAAACTGAGGTTTGGAGTGGTTCCTAACTCCAAGGAGGTTGCAGAGCTAGTGAGTGGTGGATTGGGTGTTTGAGTGCGGGGCTTCTGATCCCCAAACGCAGTAGTTCTTAACACTAAGTTATGCTGCTTTGGAGATCATTGCTTTACTTGCCAAGGCAGTGAGGTTTAGTGGAAAATAACTCATGATTAAGGGGTTTTGATGACTGTTCACACTTAGTCCTCCCTCCATCTCTCTCTAAGGAAATTTCTCAGAAAAGTTAAGAGATTAGGTATAGTTTTCAGGTGCACTTTGTCATTAAGGCAGGACCAGAAGTAGGATGTCCTGACTCTTTGGTCCAGTGTCCTCTGGACCACATGACCCCTCTGATGCCTACTCCGTGTAAAGATGCTTTCTCTCTCATCTTTGTAGAAAGGGTGGGGATACTGTCCCTTTCAACATCGTCATCTGGTGGAAAGACTCAAGTCAGACCTGGCTTCCATCTGGACTCAATTACTTACTACCATGAAGCCTTGAATAATTTCACTGATGAAGAGCCTTCCTGTGTGAAGAGGGAAATAATCCTTACTTGGTAGTGCCATTTGGAAGGGTAAATACTGTTATTCTTTATAATTATAAATGAGGAGGCGACTTATGCACAGAAAGTTTATACTGCGTTCTTGAGATCTAAAGCACATGGGAAAAAGAATTGTAAATTTAGATAGGAATAACCAATTTAGTGATACCTCTAATCTACTTCTGTGGTGGGGGGGAGAAGGGCAAAGAGAAGGAAAGGAGGGTTTCTAGGCTGGTGATGCTGGCAGCTGAGGGCAGGCCTGGCATTTTATGGTTTCTTTCTCCCTCTCCAGCTCTATTTTCTCCAGACACTGCCCTTCTCCCAGAGAGGAGCCTGAAGGAGGAGGACAGAAGAGCTGTCATAAATTCTTAAATTCTTAAAGCCATGTCCAAGGTAATGAAGTGTTTCTTCTCTTTTCCCTGAAGTGCCTTGTGTTTCAGGTTTTATATGAACATTTTGCTTTTCTTCTGAAATTCCCCAGCCTAACAAAGTCCCATTCATTCAGTGACCTGGTCCTCAGGTTCTCCAGTCCAGTAAAAGGAGGTCCCCAGAAGCCCAGTGAGCTTCCTTTTTTATTCCTCAGCCAGCCTTTTCATCTTCATTCAAGAAAGAGTGTAGCACCTCCTGTGGGTTAAATGTTCTGTTAGGAGCTCTCAAGAGGCAAAAATACACTCCTTAGTAGGATATGAAAGCCTTCATTATAGGGACTTGTTTCATTGAGGTCACGGTGTGTGCTCAGATGTGACCACTAGTTTAGAGCTTTTCCACAGACCTTGGTTTGAGAGGAAGGCAAGACGGGGGCTATTGGGTAGTCTTAGTCATAGTACATGGCAAGGTCTCTTGCTCAAGGTGATCTTGAGGAGAGGGATGTATTGGGTCTTGAGTATTAAAATGTGCGTCAGCTAGGGCAGGGATTTTTTCAGGCACTCTGGGCTTTGAAAAGTAGGATTCCATGGGAGTAATGAGGTCCTGTTTTAGGGACATTCTGAGTTAGTGGTGGGCTATGGCTAGGATATTCTAGGTCATCCATTAAGATTAGTGGCATTAATATGGAAAAATAGCAGGAAATTTTTTGAAAAAGGAGAATAATAGGAGGGAGTACTTGAATCTACATTAAAAAATGGCTATATACATCTATAATAATGAAAACAGTAGTGTGGAATGGGAGCCAGAAGAAACAAATGAAAAGATCAGCATATAATGTCCAGAAACAAATGCAAATATAAACAAGAAGGGAAAATATTTATTCATTGACTGAACATATAGTTATAAAAGACTTACTGTACTAAGTGCTGGCAATACCATGGTAAATAAAAATACACACTGTCTTTGTCTTTCTGGCATTTAGTGTCTGCTCATTTATTTATTATATGATAATGTAATGATGTTATATTAAATCAGTGGAGAAGGGATGGATTATTCATTTAGAAAAACAATTTCTTCCTCATACTTCAAAGTTAAATACATTCTGTAGGTTAAATATAAAAAATAAAACCATACAGGGCTGGCCTAGTGGTGTAGCGGTTAAGTTTGCGCATTCTGCTTCAGCGGCCCAGGGTTTGCCGGTTCGGATCCTGGGCGTGGACCTACTCACCACTCATCAAACCATGCTGAGGCGGCATTCCACATAGAGGAACTAGAAGGACCTACAAGTAGGATTTACAACTATGTACTGGGGCTTTGGGGAGAACAAAAGAAAAAATGAGTAAGATTGGCAACAGATGTTAGCTCAGGGCCAATCTTCCTCAAAAAAAAAAAAGAAAAAAGAAATACTCCTTAAAAAAAAGCTAGATGAAAATATAGAGAATGGTTGTAAAGAGGAAGATGAGCCAGAAGCAGAAATCAACTAGAGCAGCACTGCCCAGTAGAGCATCCTGTGGTGGTAGAAGTGTTCTATATCTGCACTGTCCAGTACAGTAGCACTAGCCACATGTGGCTGTGGAGCACTTGTATGTACTAGTGTGACTAAGACTGAATTTGTAATGCTAATTGATTTAAATTTAAATAGCCACATGTGGCTAGTAGCTAGTGTATTGGACACCACAGATCTAGGCTCATAAAATGATAAAGCCAGAAAGAAAATTATGGGTGATCTTGTCCAAGTCATTCATTTTACAAATGAGGAAACAGAGGCCGAGGCCAAGGGAGGAAAGTGACATATCCACATCACTAGTGGCTGTGTCAGATGTGTGAAGTGGTCATATATGTTGAGGGTCAGTAACACAGGTGACAGTGAGTGATGGTTTGAAGAAGGTGGTAGAAAATAATGAAGGACTCTGTGGAGCAGCGTGTGCAGTGTGATGGAGCACATCATTTCATTCCTTTGCCAAGAACCTTCATGGGCTGCCCATTTTACTTGGAATGAAATCCAGTGTCTTTACCATGGCATATAAGGCCATAGGTGATCCAGCTTCTGGCTACGCCAGACCTTATTCTCCACAAGTTTTTACCTCTCTCTTCTCCACTCACACAGGTCAGCTTGCTGTTCCTTAAACTTTGCAAGCCCTTTCCTGTCTCTGAACCTTTGCATTTGCTCCTCCTCTTCTGTAATTCTGTGAATGAGACCAGAGTGGCAGCTACCTCTTATTTCCTACCACTGAATTGGTAATGGAAGGAGAAAGCAGAGGGTATGATGTGTAGAATAGACAGAGCCCATCAGTCCAACTGCTGTTTCCAGGACCCACCCCAGACCTCCTGAATCATAGTCTTTGGTGGTGGGGCCCAGGAAACCACAATTTTATTGAGTCCCAGGATGATTTTAATGCACGCTTTTTGAGAACCTCTCTCTGTAAAGATTATATTTAAAGTATGCCTCTTGTAAACAGCATATAGTTGGTTGGTTATTTTCCCCCTGTGCTCATAGCTGGGCACTTGGCCCTCTGTGCCTCCCACAATCCCCTGTGCCTCCCACGATCCTCTATGCCTTCTCACGATTCACTATGCTCACAGCAGGGCACTCCCGTGGCCCTGTGTACCTTCCACAGTTCCCTGTATCTCCTTGCAAAATGTTGGTTTTTAAAAATCCAGTCTGATAATCTTGGTCTTCTTAATTAATATTTAGTACACTTTCATTTAATTACTGATTTATTTGTGTTTAAGTCTACCATATTGCAATTCATTTTCTACTTATCTCATTTGTTCTTTGTTCCTTTATTTCTCCTTTTTTGCCTTCTTTTGGATAAATTAGGTATTTTTTTCCTTATTATCTAGTTAATTATACATTATTTTTATTATTCTTTTAGTGGCCACTCTAGGATAATATGTATCCATTACTCATTATGTAATAATCTTCTTTCTTCCTTCTGTAATCTTCCTTCTATAATTAGTACTCTTACCACTTCCTGAACAAGATAAGACCCCTATAGTGGTTTAACTCCAAGATATTATTAGTAGATATTTAGTTTATAGTTACTGTTTTGGGGCACTTAATTTCTTCCTGTGTTTCTATGCTTCCATTTTCCTTTTCCTTCCATTTTCCTTCTACCTGAAAAACCCCTATCAGTATTTCTTTGGTCAACACTTTACTCCTAGCCTGAATTATTTTTTCATTAGCTCCTATTCTTGCTTGGTCAAAATAGTGTAATTTAAAATTTTTTCTAAAGTTAAGTAAGTTTGAGAAATCCTAGTCTCAATGGAGAGAAAAAATTCTAGGAATATAAGAAAATAATTAGAGACTTTTGCAGCATCATAGTGAAAAATTAAGATTCATATAACTGAAAATAAGCAGAGGGTTAGTAAATAAGCTATGGCATATTTACACCAGGTAATATTATCCATCCAACAAAAGTGATGTGAAATAAATGAATATGTATGGATAATCATAGACATGTCTGTATAAGGAAACATCTGAACAAATATACACTAACTGTAAATTTTGATTGCTTCTAGGAGGTAGGTGGACATGGTGAGTCGGTGTGGGACATGGAGGACTTCCAGTTCTTTAACTTAAAAAGGGAAAAAATTGACTGAGGATAGAAATACTGGACATTATTTTCTAAGTTTCTTTAATGATGACAAAATTAGATTAAATTCCTGTTTTATCAAATCAAAATGAATGTGAAAATATCTGAAGGTATTCAAGTCTCATTGGCTGAGAGGAAAATGTCAATCAGACAATAGAAACCTGGAATCCATTAGTTTGTGTGTGCAACTAAAAAATGTCTTTTGAGAACTTTACCTGGCAAAAGCTACCTCACCTGTCTATAGAAGAAATGATGTGTGTGGAACACTTTTTTTGCACAAAATTTTAAAGTTTGTATTGAAGTGTTTGAGTTTTAATAGAATTGACGATTGACAGTGCCCAGCCCTGTCTAGCACAAGTTTCGTCTTTTAAGATCCAACTCATGTTCCCTTCCTTTCTTGAATCCTTTACTCACTTCCCAGATTTCCCTGTATTAAGAAGTATTTTAGAGATGGAAGCATGTAAGATGGAAGCTGATGCATGTAACTGATGTTCCTTAGACTCATACTTTTGCTTCCCTTATAGCCTCCTTAACATTTTTGTCCATTACTCAGGCACTAGCAATTCACATATTGATTCATTTTTTCCATTAAAAATGTTTCTGTGTAAAATCATTGATCTGCTTAAATCCATCTTCAGTAGGAGCATTACTCTGCAGAGTCACATTAAGAATAGGAGTGACAGGGCTGGCCGGGTTGCATAGCAGTTAAGTTCACACGTTCCGCTTCGGCGGCCCAGGGTTTGCAGGTTTGGATCCCAGGCGTGGACCTACGCACTGCTTGGCAAGCCATGCTGTGGCAGCGCCCCATATAAAGTAGAGGAAGATGGGCATGGATATTAGCCCAGGGCCAATCTTCCTCAGCAAAAAGAGGAGGATTGGCAACGGATGTTAGCTCAGGGCTAATCTTCCTCAAAAAAAAAAAGAATAGGAGTGACATTCATATTTGACAAGCACGAAGGGGAGGGCACAGAACAGAACTTACCCCAGCTGGTATCGTGGAGGCTACTGGCAGGCTAGGCATTCCCCTTCAGTTACTGAATTTGGGGGAGACCTGGGAAGGTCACTAGCAGGGCTCAGTGCAGTAGCTGCTTACCAAACAGTGTGGCGGTATTTCAGTATTTAACAAGTGGGTTCAGCTGTTCAGGTGTGTATCATTGAGTGCATCTGGATATCAGCCAGCCCAAGCATAGGCTTTGCCTGGTGACATGCCAAACCTAAGAAGCATATACCAGCCATACAGCAAGCCCTGATAAGTCTGGAGCAGATTTACCTCATTAGTAAGAATACCTGTTTTGAATTTTTAGGGAGCAGACTAGGTCTTATTCCATGTTATAATGATGTTTAATTGAAGCTACAGTCGTATTATTTGAGAGCAGTAGTGTAACATTAAAAAAACTCTCTTGCTCATTAGACATGCACAGTTGGGTATGTTCCTCTAATAAGACCTGTGGTATTTTTTGATGCACTTCATTATCACATTTGGAATGTTTACTATTTAAGTTAATTTATAGTGCTTAAATTACTATTGTTTTGTCTCTTAGGTAGCATGATAAGTTACCAACTGTCTTTGAAACTTAGTGGGGTAATCGAGAGCTGTTAGATAATCTTTTGTTGCCCCTGATTGTTCTGTTATGGTATACATTTGTTTAATTTATATTTTTGCAAAATCACTATAAAAATTGTTTACTATTTTTATTACATATGTAGTTAATTTTAGAAAATCAATATTATAAGCATCAAATATATTTTCCTATATATATATGCTATTGATATAGCTGGAACATTGACCATTCCATTGTAGAGTTTGGAAAAATGCTATTTTAGACCACATATGTCTTGTAAGGCTTAACTTATGTTCCTGCCTCCTCCTTGAAGCCTTTTTTCACTGCCCCAGTCTATTCTGATTTTCCATGTTGAGAAATGCTCTAGCAAGTAGTATGAATAATGTGAATATTTTACATTTGATTGTTTACAATGTTCTTTTATTGCCCATTTTTGTGTGTTATAAATCTTTTCTTCATCAGTAGAGACTATTTCTGAAATTGCACACTTTCCATGACAGAATATCAAAACTAAGCACAGTGAAGTCATGTAGCAATTACTTGACATGTGTTGCTCAGAACCTAAGATACTCCCAGAAAATTTCACTATATGAAATATTTCTCTCTAAAAGTATAGACAATTTAACTCTTCAAGCTATGCCCATATCAGGGTAAGAACACTAGTTGAGCAAGGATATGTTTATGTCATTTCAGGATTTGGTGACATTTGGGGATGTGGCTGTAGATTTCTCTCAAGAGGAGTGGGAATGGCTGAACCCTGCTCAGAGGAATTTGTACAGGAGGGTGATGTTGGAGAACTATAGGAGCCTGGTATCACTGGGTAAGGAGGTCTCCCTATAATTCAGAATCGGCATATAGGGCTACTTTCCAATGTAGTGTTTGGGAAGCCTCTGATGTACTTCACTAAATTTCTCTTTCTTATGCTCCCCAAAATAGGTTGAGAATTGGCAGCCTCATTAGACTATTCCTGCAACTTCATGTTCCCCATTCTTAGAATACTTCTTCTCTTCCTCAGCTCCCTTCTATAATGCCCCCGCCTTCCTCATGACCAAGGGACTTGATCTGATTTATGGGCTTGGCTAATTCCCCTTTTATTTCTTGTAAGCAGGAGTTTCAGTTTCTAAGCCAGATGTGATCTCATTACTGGAGCAAGGAAAAGAGCCCTGGATGGTGAAGAAGGAGGGGACAAGAGGCACATGCCCTGGTGAGTGAGAGAGAACTAGGGAGGTAGAGGCCATTGCAAGGAAAAGCTTAGCTATTCTGAAAGGTTCCAGCTCATAACATGTTTCCTGGGTAGCTTTTCTTAAAGGCTCAAGGCCTGGGAAGAGACATTGAGGCATCTTTAGCATGAGCTCCCCAGCCTATTCTCCTTGTATATATTCTCTCACACGTTACTGTCTTCTCTGATAACCTTTTCCTATTCTCTGGGTCCAAACGTCACAGCATCTCCTTGTCCTTGCTTTTTAGTTTTGCACAAGTTGCTCCATCACATTTTTAAAAATCCAGACATACCAATGCCTTTTTTTTTTCCTTTTCACTCATTCCTTTTAGATTGAAGGATTGATTCATTTATTTTTCACTTATTCTTTTACCAAGATTCAGAGTTTCTACATTGAGAAAATCATTGTTAAATTCTTGTGATTATTCAGGGGTTTCAAAACCATCAAAGAAAAAAAGAAAGCATTTCCAGTTGTATTTTCAAGTCTGGATAACTGGAAACAACATTTAATAGAAACAAGGTTGGTAGGGGAAAAGATGATGAATTTGGCTTGGGACATAAGAAACTTATTTTTATGAGATGGGGAAATTTCCAAGTGAAGAAATGTAACATGCCATTGGAGGGAGACAGGTTCAGAACAAAAAGTCTGATTTAGAGATGTTAGTGTGAAAGGATGAGAATCCCTAGTCTTAGAGTTTGAGATATAAACCCTGTACTGGGTGGGGCCTTTGTGGGGAAGTGTATCTTAGACAACTTTCTCAGTGTCCTGTCTGGTAAATGGCCTCTCTACAGTTTCTGTCTTGGGTTAAATTTTATAAATTTTTATTTTTCTAGATAATTATCCTTTTCATTTAGGTTATCATTTATTTCACAAATCTAAGCAAAATAATCTTATATTTTTATTTCTTTTATAGCTATAGTAGTTTTCAATTTTAATTTATTTTGTATAGCTGTTCTTGTTTTAAAAAAATTATTAGGTTGCTACTCAATTTTATTTTTATTTATTTTTAAAATCCAGCTTATGGATTTATCTGTTAGTGTTACCATTCTTCTTTTTTCAATTCTCTATTTTCTGCTTTTCTCTTTACTAATTCTTTCCTTATTTTCTTAGGTTTATTTTATTCTCCATTTTGCTGAAATGCAAGCTTAATCTATTCATTTCATTCTCTCTTATTCACTAATGAAATTATTAAGGGCTATGAATTTTCCTCTCAATATAGCTTCAGCTGTCTTCCAAAGATTCTTATATTTAGTTTTTTTGTTACTGCTATCTGCTAGGTAACCTACTTTTTAAAAATTTCCCTTTCACACAAGAGTTGTTTAAAAGAAAGTTTTCTGGTTTTATTGTATTTTGATCAAATTGTTTTATGATATTTGCTCATACAGTAATTAGTACTAATTCTTCTTTCTACCAATTTGAAGATTTTGTATAGCCTGATATATAGTTAGTTTTGTAAATGTTCCATAGGTTCCAAGGTGTAGTCTCTATTTTCAGTGTAAAGAGCTTGTTATATATACTGAATTTTACTTTTTTATGTTATCAAAGTCTGTCTTTACTTACCTTTGTTTCCATCTATTTTTTTCTTAATAACTTTATTAAGGAATTATTTACATACAGTACATTGCATCCATATAAATTATGCAATATGATGAGTTCTGACAGTTGTATACACCCATGAAACCGTCACCATAGTCAAGACACATTGATGATATAGCATTTCCATCACCCCAAAAGATTGCTTGTGCCTTTTTGCAGTCCATCCTTCTCCACTCCCGGCTCCAAACACTTAATCATATCTTTATCATTTTAGATTAGTTTGCATCTAAACAAAATGGAATCATATAGTATATATTCTGTTATGTCTGGCTTATTTCACTCACCATAATGATTTTGAAAATCATCCATATTGTTACCCAAGTATGAACAGTTTATCCCTTTTATTACTGAGTAGTGTATTGTGTAGATATTCCACATTTTGTTTTTCCCTTCACCTGTTAATGGACATTTGGGTTGTTTCCAGTTTTTTGGCTATTATAAAGCCCCTATGAAGCTGTCATGCACAGGACTTTGTGTAGACATATGTTTTCATTTCACTTGGGCATATATCTAAAAGTGGAAAAACTTAAGTCATATGATAGGAATATGTTTAACTTCTTAAGAAACTGCCAAATAGTTTTCCAAAATGATTGTACCATTTTCATTACCACCAGCAATATATGAGAGTTCTAGTGGCTCCACATCCTCATCATATCTTGGTATTGTTGGTATTTTTAATTTTATTCATTCTGATTATTGTGTTGTGGTATCTCATTGTGGTTTTAATATGCATTTCTCTGATGACTAATAATTATGTTGAGCATCTTTTCATGTGCTTATTGGCCATTCATATATCTTTTGTTAAGTATTTGTTCAAATCTTTTGCCCATGTTTTATTGGGTTGTTTCTCATTTAATTGTAAGAGTTCTTTATATAGTCTTAATACAAGTCCTTTGTCATTTATATGTATTGGGATATATGTATGCCAATTGCGGCGCGCGCGCGCGTGTGTGTGTGTGTGTGTTTTGTCCTACTGCTGTCTTTTGAACATCCAAAGTTTTCAATTTTTGTAAAGTTCGTATTAATTTGTCTTGTTTGGAGCTTTTTGTGTCATATCTAAGAAATTCTTGCTACCTCCAGGTCACAAAGATTTTCTTCTAGGTTTTCTCCTATGATTTGTGAAGTTTTAGCTTTTACATTTTGGTATATGATCCATTGAGCTAATTTTTCTTCTGTCTTGTGTGCGGCAGAGGTTGAGGTTCATTTTTTTTCCCCATTTGGATATACAGTTGCTCCAGTGCCCTTTGTTGAAAAAACCTTCCCTTCCCTGTTATATTGCCTTGTTGGTGCCTTTGTTGAAAATCAGTTGACCATATATGCATGAGTCTAGTTCTGAACTCTATTCTGTTCTCTTGATCTGTATGTCTATCCTTTCACCAATACCATACTTTCTTGATTACTGTAGCTTTATAGTAAATTTTGATATCAGATATTTCAATTTGTAAAATCACTTTGACTATTTTAGATCATTTATATTTCCATATAAATTTTAGAATGAAGTTGGGAGTTTCTACCCAAAACACCTGCTGAGATTTTGATTGGGATTACATTGAATCTATACATCAGTGTGGAGAGAATTGACATCCTAACATCATTCAATTTTCCAGTTAATGAATATGGTTTATTTAGCCATTTATTACAGTCTTCTTTCTCTTAGTAATGTTCTGTAGTATCATGTAGTGGTCTTATATATCTAAAAAAATTTTTTCCCTGTGTCTTTTATGGGGGTTTTTGGTGCTATTATAAATAGAATTCTTAAAAATTCCATTTTCCAATTGTATGCTGCTAGTATGCAGAAATGTATATTGATTTTTATATTAACTTCATATTTTATGACCTTGCTAGATTTATTTAGTAGTTGTTTTGTAGGTTCCTTAGGACTTTTTGCATAGACAATCATGTTATCTGCAAATATAGTTTTATTTCTTCCTTTTTTATCCTTATGCCTTCTTTTTCTTGACTTATTGCAATAGCTAGGATCTCATGTACAATGTTGAATAGAATTGGTAAGAGCAGATATACTTGCATTTTTCTCAATCTTAAGTGAAAATGTATTCAGTCCTTCACCATTAAGTTGATGTTAGTTATAGGTTTTTCTTAGATGCCCTTTATCAGTTTGAGGAAGTTCTTTCTATTCCTGGTTTGCTGAGAAGTTTTATAATAAATAGGTGTTGAATTTAGTCAAATACTCTTTCTACATCTATTGAAATGATCATTGATTTTCCATCTTTAATTTGTTAATGTGGTGAATTACAATGATTCATTTTCACATATTAAACCAACCTTGCATTCCTGGGATAAACTCTACTTGGTCATGATTATGCTTTCATGTTTTCCTGGATTTGATTTGCTATAATTTTATTAAAGGTTTTACATTTATGTTCATCTGCTACATTGGTTTTATAAACCATAATAGGAATTTTGGTTTTATTATAAATGTGGTGAGAAACCATTGGAAAGTCTTGAGCAGAAGAAGTGATTTGATTTGGGAATGGAAAGGGGAAGGCAAGTTAAGGCTGGTGGTAGGTTAATAAAATCAAGCAATTTGATTCATAATTACTTCTATACGAAGGCACCTTAGCTTCAGGATCAATTGAAAATTTACATTTGGTTGGAATGTATCACATAGAAAATTATATTCAGGAAGACCTTTTTCAGGCTGCAGAAGTTTAACCATAGAGTTTCATGTACAACCTAAGGCAACTAATACCTGGTGTGTCTTTGGGTCTGAAGATCTTACGGAGGTTTTTTAGCCACATTGACATGACATTAGTTTTTTAAAGATAATGAACTTAGCTTGAATGCAGGATAACCTGAGGCAAGAGAGGAAGGGTGTTTGGGTGTTATATTATTATAGATATAAAATGATGATTGTGATTTTAGATGACTTCTTTTTTAATTTTTCTGATAGTTACCTTACTGTTTATGTATGATTAATTTAGTTCCTTAATTTTATTAAGCTCTCATTCTTTATAATCTCTTACTTTTTAGACTGCATTTAACAGCTGTTAATTCCTCAAACTGCTTATGTATTTTATTCACGAATTTTTGTTTTAGAAGTACTTCTCTTCTAATGCATAAATACAGAAGACATTTGTGTTCTTGCTGTCTTTTAGATTGGGAGTATGCATTTAAAAACAATGAATTTTCATCAAAGCAAGTTATTTATGAAGAATCATCCAAAGTAGCGACAATGGGAAGAAGCCATCTTAGTTATAGCCTCGACTGCACCAGTTTGAGAGAAGACTGTAAAAGTGAGGACTGGTTTAAGAACCAGTTGGGAAGTCAGCAAGTACATTCTAGTCAATTGATCATCACTCATAAAGAAATCCGCACTGAAGATCAAAGTAATGAATATACTAAATCTTGGCAAACTTTCCATCAGGATGCAATATTTGCTATAAAACAGAGTTTTCCCACCGAAGGAAGAGTACATAAGCATGAGCCACAAAAGAGAAGTTACCAAAAAAAATCTGTTCAAATGAAACATAAGAAAGTCTATGTAGAAAAGAAACTTTTGAAATGTAGTGAATGTGAGAAAGTTTTCAACCAGAGCTCATCTCTTACTCTTCATCAGAGAATTCATACTGGAGAGAAACCCTATGCATGTGTCGAATGTGGGAAAACCTTCAGCCAGAGTGCGAACCTAGCTCAACATAAGAGAATACATACTGGAGAGAAACCTTATGAATGTAAAGAATGTAGGAAAGCTTTCAGCCAGAATGCACACCTTGCTCAACATCAGAGAGTTCATACTGGAGAAAAACCTTATCAGTGTAAAGAATGTAAAAAAGCCTTCAGCCAGATTGCACATCTGACTCAACATCAGAGAGTTCATACTGGAGAGAGACCTTTCGAATGTATTGAATGTGGAAAGGCCTTTAGTAATGGTTCATTTCTTGCTCAACATCAGAGAATTCATACAGGAGAGAAACCTTATGTATGTAATGTGTGTGCAAAAGCCTTTAGCCATCGTGGATACCTAATTGTACATCAGAGAATTCATACCGGAGAGAGACCCTATGAATGTAAGGAATGCAGGAAAGCCTTCAGCCAGTATGCACACCTTGCTCAACATCAGAGAGTTCATACTGGAGAAAAACCTTATGAATGTAAAGTATGTAGGAAAGCCTTCAGCCAGATTGCATACCTTGATCAACATCAGAGGGTTCATACTGGAGAGAAACCCTATGAATGTATTGAATGTGGGAAGGCCTTCAGCAATAGTTCATCACTTGCACAACATCAGAGAAGTCATACTGGAGAAAAACCTTATATGTGTAAGGAATGTAGGAAAACATTTAGCCAGAATGCAGGCCTTGCTCAACATCAGCGAATTCATACTGGAGAGAAACCTTATGAATGTAATGTTTGTGGGAAAGCCTTTAGCTATAGTGGATCTCTTACTCTACATCAAAGAATTCATACTGGAGAGAGACCCTATGAATGTAAGGATTGCAGGAAATCTTTCAGGCAGCGTGCACACCTTGCTCATCATGAGAGAATTCATACTATGGAGTCATTCTTGACTTTTTCTTCTCCCTCACCCTCCATGTCCAGTCAGCTGCCAAGACCTGTAGGTTTTATCTCCTGAATATGCCCTGAATCTGACTCCTTTAATCCATTTCCATTCCATCATCTTTTTCCAATACACAGTAATCTATTTGACATGGACTATGGAAATAGCTTTCTAATTGGTCTCCCCGTACTTACCATTTCCTTTGCCAGTTGTCCACATTGCAGCCAAACTTGTAGTTAAAAACAGTTTGATAATATCATTTCTCCCTCATTAAAACCCCTCATTGGCATCCCACAGTTCTTAGGTTAAAGCACACATTCCTCAGAATAGCCTAGAAGATCGCCCCTCCCAATACCTTGTTCCAGTCTACCTTCCAAAGCCCTATCTCATGTCAGTATCTATCTCATTCTTTAGATACTTATCCAGAATTAAGAAATCATATTCCAGCATCAAATAGGTCTGAGTTCCAATCCTTGCTCTTCCATTTTCTAGCCCTCTGGTTTTGGAGAAACATTTGTCCTTTGTAAGCTTTAGTCGTCTTATTTATATTATGGAAATAATAATGGTACTACCTCAAAAGTTAATGGGAGAATTAAATGAGATAATGCACGTAAATTGCTCAGCAGAGTGCCTAGCATAAAGTAATCACTCAATAAGTATTAATGTAAGATAAAAAGATACTGTTGGTATACAAAGAAGACCTGATCATCTCAGCAATGATCAGCTGAGAAATAAGCAGTAGCAGCTCAAAACTCAAGAGATTGTAAAGATTTTTGATTAAGAACAGTAGTCATAGTTCTAAAGATGGGTGACAAGGGTATCTAATACAGTAGGATTGATGTTCGAGTCTGTGATGATATAGAGTAAGATGGTAGCTTCTATTTCAGCATGAATATATAGAGAGATGACTTTGTTGGTAAGAAAAAACTAACTGCGTTAGATATTCAACAGTTCTAAGAAGCCAGATTTAAAAAATCACTTGTAATAAGATAAGTAGAATTTACTGAGATGTATTCATCATTTACATTTAAACAAAGGCAAAATAGATATTAAAAAAAGACAGAAAACTTAAAATGATCAATAACCAAAGAAGAATAGAAAATAAAGTGTAAGTTTGAACTCTCCTAATTCCAGGTGGATGAATTGTATTAAACCTATGTCTATTTAAAATATTTATAGAATAACCATATTCTATTTAAAATAGAAAAAGTTGTTAAGCTTCTAAGCTGTAATTCCAAAACTAGAGAGGAAAAGAAACCAAAATTACATGTCAGTACTCACAAACTGGCTGCCCACAAACATGTTTGGTTTGGTATGCATCAAGTTTAAAATGAATATGAATCCCTTTAGGTGAGCATCTGTTTTCCAGTTCTCCACAGTTCAAACCACTCCCTGTTCCCTTACATCTGACTTGTTTTATACTTTATATTGCTTCCTGCCTCCTGAAGGCTTTGAGTAGGGAAGCAATGCAATAACCAATTCACATATGAATACAGGTACAAACAAAATGATGAAAGTTTAATGCAGGATAAAAAGGAATACTTGAATAGACATTTTATCCTTCTGTAGGGGAAGACTCAGTATTATACAGATGTTAGCAGGCTCCAAATTAATCTACAGAAACTTTGTACCTAACAAAATCCTAAGAAGAATTTTATAAGGTTCGAAACACTGTGTGCATGTGACCATACACACATATACATTCATACAGATATACACACAAAGAAAATATATAATAAAGGTGGTATTTCATGTCAGTGGCCTAATAGTATTGGTAAAATTGATTCTGCTCTGTACAGAAACAATCCTCTCATTCTTTTATCTAAATGTGAAACAGAGTTATTAGAGAACACTAACACACTTTATAACCACAGAGTGAGAACAATCTTCCTAAACATGACATGAGATCCAGCAGACACACACTCACAAAGATTCTAGGTTTGACTGTGTAAGACCTCTATTAAGCTTTTACATAGTCAACAATAGTATAAACAAAAGGTTTTAATTTTATTTTTATCTTTTTATTTTTATTATTTTTGTGTGTGTGTGTGAGGAAGATCAGCCCTGAGCTAACATCCACGCCAATCCTCTTCTTTTTGCTGAGGAAGACTGGCCCTGGGCTAATATCTGTGCCCATCTTCCTCCACTTTATATGGGATACTGCCACAGCATGGCCTGACAAGCAGTGCATCGCTGCACGCCCAGGATCTGAACTTGGGCCGACAGCAGCAGAGCGCGTGCGCTTAACCACTACGCCATGGGGCCGGCCCCCTATCTTTTTATTTTTATTTATTTATTTTTTTTGGTGAGGAAGACTAGCCCTGAGCTAACATCCGATGCCAATCCTCCTCTTTTTACTGAGGAAGATTGGCCCTGGTCTAACATCCATGCCCATCTTCCTCTACTTGATATGGGATACTGCCATGGCATGGCTTGACAAGCGGTGCATCAGTGAGCACCTGGGATCCGAACCTGTGAACCCCGGGCCGCTGAAGTGGAGTACACGCCCTTAACCACTGTGTCACCAGGCCGGCCCCCAAAAGGTTTTTAGACATAAAAATTGGAGAAAATTATTACAACATATATAACTTATGAAATCCATATCCTTAACATAAAAGTGCTCCTACAAATCACTTAGAAAATGATACTTCTCCTCCCCTCAGGGGTAAAGGGTATAAAGAGGCAACAAATGACTGAAGAACATGTGGTAAGTACTGAATCTCACTAGGATCAGAAGAAATACAAGCTAAACCAATGAACTATCCATTTTTCAATATTACATTGATAACAAAAATGTGCACTGCAAAAGCATAGGAAAGGAGATAGTTCTATGCACTGAAGTGAGGGAGTATGAATTTGTAAAACCTTTCTGAAAGGCAACTTGTCAATATCAGAATCTTCATTGGGAAAACCAAGATTTTTCTTTTGCAGTTAACAAACAGCACACATTTATATTCCCCCTATTAAACAGATAAAACAATGTAAAACGTGGCAAACAAAAAAAGCACAAAAGAAAGGGCCATCAGTGGATGAAAGTTAAAAGACAAAAGGGAGAAGAGTACTCATTCATGAAATGTAGCAGGAGAAGCTCTACCTGAAATGTTTGAATGTTAGGGATTTCAGTAATGGGAGCCAATCTGCCCAAACAATCGCTAGAGAAATTCAGGCTTCGAATTGGCTTGTGTAGAGCTGTGGGCAATGAGGAGACATGATGACAAGACTGTTAAATGCTTTTCTAGGTGAAAGTTATGTTAGTACCCCCTGCTAACAGCTTCCCCATTCCACTCTCTCTTCTATAAGTAAATTTAATGCAATCCTTACTTCACCCCGTTCACAAAAATGAGTTCCAGTTCAATAAAACCCTAAATGTAAAAGTAAATAAGTAAAATCATTAGAAGAAAACACAGTAGGATATGTTTATGACTTTGGTGTTGGACATATCTTTCTAAAATAGACAAAAATGAAAGCCATAAAGGAAAAGATTAATGAAGTTGATTATATTAAAAGCATGCTTTTAAACAAAGTTAAAAAGCAACAGAAAGGAAAATATTGGTAATATAATACAAACAAAGATGTAAGAATACCTATAAATAAGTACAGAACAACTAAGGAAGAATGAAAATGGACAAAGGATAGGAAAGGGCGATTAATAGAATACAGATGGCCAATAAATATGAGTCCCTGTTTAGCCTCTCTAGTATTAATAGCTGCAATTTAAATAATGTAATATCAAAAGTGGACAGTTGTGTGGAGAAAAGAGTACCCCCTTCACTGCCACTTTGGAGGCACTGAAATTTTTTAAATGGTCACTATAGCCCCTTTGGAGGGCAGTATGGTTAGTACATGAAGTGCTGGAAGTAATCTAAATTCTCATCAATAGAGGCATGACAGAAATACTAGCAGCAGTTTACAAGAATGGACTGATGATATTGATTTGACTCAAAGACAATGAAAAAAAATTTGCAGAATAGTAGAGTATTATATATTTAAAATATATTTCTAGTACATTTATATAAGTATGCAAATGCTTAGAAAAAGTTCTGAACACACACATCCGACTGCTAAGTGCTTCTGGGGAGAGGACTGGGATTGAATATTCTGGTTAAGAGGGGATTTAGTGTTATCTGTAACGTTTGAAGTTTTAAACAAGAATGTAATAATACAATTTAAAAAATTTAAACTGAAAAATTGAATGAACTTATGGAGAACTAAATTGGTGGCCTAAATTGAAACCTTTTTGGAATTTGGAGATTCTTTCATTGACTTGCCAGCCCTTCCCATGCATACAGAGATTCTCCTTCAGGGAAACAGATCTACAGTGAGAATATCCAAAGAAGCCCCTGCTATCTACCTAGGATAATCAAACCATATCATTTATAAATATGAACAGACAGCTAAGGATCATCACATATGAAAAAACTATCAGCATAATAAAGACCAAGAGACAGAACTAAACCCAGAGTGGGGAAAGTTATGCAATAAGAGAAGGAAAATAAAAGTTGATGTTAGTCTGAGATTTGAACAGATGGTGCACTTTTAAAACAAATATGGAAAGCTACCAAAAAAGAGAAGTAGACAAGACAGAACTACTAAGAACAAAAAAATATTATTGCTGTAATAAACTTAGAAGTTTTGAAAGAAAATTAAGGAAACTCACCAAGGTCATAAATTAAAAAGAAAATGAGAGAGAAAAAGAAACATGGAAGTTTAGAAGGTCCAACATCTAACTAATAGGAGTTCTGGAAAAAAACTAACAGACAATATAAGAGGGATGTATCAAATAAATGATTAAGGCTCTTTCTAAACTAAAGAAAGTTATGTTCAGCTTGGAATAATTCACTGAATGTTGGACAGGCTGAACTGGAAAAAATCACACCTACAATAGAAAAAAAAGACATCCAGAAATATGCTTGTGAAATTTCAGAATACTAAAGATGAGACCATCCTGGAAACTTTCAAAAAATGTAAATGTCTCCTAAAAAAGAACAATCCAGATAGTGTTAGCCTTCCCTCCCATGAACAATATTATGTGACAGAATACAAAACAGCACCTTCCAAGTTATGAGGTTAAAATTACTTTGAATCTAGAAGTCTATACCCAAACAATATGAGGCCAAATATTGATAATTGGTATATTCAGTTTATTTCAGTTTACTCCCACTTATCCTTTATTAGGTTTTAAAGGATTAGCTTTGGCAAAATTTGGATGGAAAAGGAAGAAGGCAGCAGGAAATGCTTCAATAAATAGTGGATCTAATGTAGGAAAGTGGTGTTAAGGATGACTAGGATGACCATTCTGCAAAAATCAGACCAAATTACTGGTAGGTTAGGAATCCAGGGAGTCAGTCAAGAAAATCTTCAGGAAGAATGGAATGGGTTACATTAAACAGAATTAGTATGCAATTGGAAGATTTTAGCAATATGATGAAGACAAAAGTTGTTCTTAAGGAAGAAGGAAATGAAAGGCAGTTATTGGCTCTGGGAAAAACAAAGGAGAAGCTATACCAGACATCATGGTCCCAATATAAAGCAAGCCCCCGTAAAATGTGACATCATTTTGTAAAATAACTAGAATATAAAAAAAGAAAATCCATTTGACTGACATTAGGAATAGACTCCTTTAAGTGGGTACTGGGATCATAATATTAGAAACCTTAGAGAAGGAAATGTAATCTTCACACATTGCTTGGCTCTGACTCTTCAGAGAGTAATATTTATATGGTGATAATGATCTAATGCTATTTTCAACTTTAAAATATAAACACAAATCACTAAAGTCTCTGTTTCTGTATGTGTATAGATCTAATATCTACTTAATAATGTGAAAGGCAAAATATAGCTGATAGATTGGATGGTGGGACGTTGACAGGGAAATGAGAGATTGAAGCCAGGATAAGGAGAAATGTTCTGATCATACATAGAGGGGATTCAAGAGATCTGCCTTAAGCCGACAGAATAAGAAATACAGGTTAGCTATAGTTCAAGTTAAAATACATCAGAGGAGCTAATACAT